GCTAGTGGGTTTCTGCTAATTGCATAAATCAGTAACAGATGTGCTGAGGCTGAGCCCCTCGTGTTTATCCCACGATGTGTTTTCTTTAAATGACAAATGTTTTTTAAAGCCAAAAAATAAAAGTTATTGTATGGTTTTCCTCTGCAACACACAGCAAGAGCGGGTGAACATTTCCAAAGAGGTAGTTCATCCTGTCATTTGAACAAGGAGCCAGGCCAATGGGCTCAGAGCAGAAGGCCCTTGGTGGCTGTTTAAGAGCTTTATTAAGGTTTATTTAATGCGGCATTACATAAATCATAGACTTGTGTTCCCTGAGCTGTTTATAAATTGTAATTTGTAGCTGGAGTGTTTTTCTTCCATATAAAATGGTTGATAAGGCTGATAAATTGCTCCCACAGAGAAGGGAGTGAGGAGGAGTGTTCCTTAAATAGGAAAATTGAAGTTGGAAAAGTGCAGAACACTCCCCCCCCCCCTTTATTTTCCCAATCTATGAAGAGACAAGGGTTCCAAGCACCGAGTGCCATCTCACAGGAGCATAGCTTTTCTCTCTTGTTCAGGATATTGGAGGTGAGGAACAGAAATTTTGGAACTAGGAGTGGTGGAGTTGCCTTATGAGTATGGGGATCCCAGAGCAATCTTTGTTCATATGTGTGGGCTCCTGGTGTATGCAAAAAATTTGAGTCACCCAAAATCCGTGGGAACACCATTTTGTGGATCTAGTCTAAGCCAGAATGATCCCACCCCAAAGACCTAAAAAGAACCACAGCCCATCTCCTCAGGACATCTAGTGAACCTCTGTGTGGTAGTTGGGTGGACAGAGGCCTGAGGCAGTCTGAAGGGGGAAACAAGCGCCATGTGGGGTCTGATCCTAGCTCCTGGCCCTGTCACCAGCACCGAGGGAGGGCTTACAGTATGTTTTTGGCTGTATCTAAGGACCTGGAGGACAAGTGGGGCATTTTCTAGGATAACTGAGCAGTGCATGACTTTTTGCAGAGGGAAAGCAGCAGCCTATTGTGGTAGAGATACTGCTTGTGCTGTAATTTCTGTGAAAGCCCCTGAAGTTGTGTTCAACTGATGCCCCTGACCAGAAACGACTGTTTTTGAGGTGAACGACTCAGGTTAACACATTGTAGGAGAGCCCGAGAAAAACCCGTTATCCTTAAAACAATAGTTTCCTTTGATTGAAATGGAGTAAATAGTGAAATAGTGATGGATATAATTGAACATTCCTGAAGAAAATGCTTAATTATATCAAGGCATTCATTTTTCTTTAAATCTTGTCCTAATTTTCTATCAATTTCACTAATGTAATAACTTGCTATGAAAATAAATGTCTAGGGTTAGTTGTCTCGATGAAGAATTGCATTTTCACAAAAATGTAATGAGTAGGCAAATAGAGCTTTTAATCTACCCATTAAATACACCCTTTGACACTTCATTCCCCGCCTGTTCCTTCCTCCCTTCTGCAATAAATGACGCTTACTTAGTGAGCACTTCATGTTGGTCAAGCACTGTGCTGGCATTTCATTCAGTACTCACAGTTCCGGTATCAAGAAAACTAAGGGACTATAGCCTACTCAAGGCCACACAGTTCTGTCTGCTGATTCCAAAGCTGATACCCTTAAGACATCAGCTTCCTTTTATGGAATCCTTATCAAACATCAGGCTCTGTAATAGGTCTTTGGGCCCCATAGGTGAGTGAGTCACAGAACATTCTCTCAAAGAGCTACTAGTCTAGATGGGTGGTGCTAGAAACCAGCTGGATGACTGTGAAGCAGTGAGGTGTGGGCTGCCATGGGAGGAACAAGGAGTAGCCTGGAATCCAACTCTGAAAGAAGGCTGTTGTGGAAAAAATCCTGCTAGGACTTTAATTTCTTTGAACGTGGCTGACATCCAAATTGTGCTAGGCTGCTACCTATAACTGGGGAAAGTGGTTACTAAGATGAGTGATATAATTCACCAAGTAAAGTGAAAGTGGGCTCATAAAGGGCTTGTAGAAGACCCTCCCCCACCTCCCCGGCCCCGAGCTGGTCTTCCAAAGATCAATAATTACAGTGGAGCAGGTGAGGAGTGAGGAGCAATGGTGGGTGTCCCAGAAGAAGGAGAAGCAGAAGGAAAGTCACAAAAGTGACGAATGGCTTGGGTAGCATCAAAGCCACCACACATGGTTAAAGCAGTGGGACTGGAGATTTCTGGAAAATCTCTCCAATCACTCCTGACTAAGATTCAGGGGTGGATCTGGTGGTAGAGGGATCACAGGAAGTAGCCTGGTGAAGGGGGGTTTGGTAATGAGTATGAACTCAGGTGAGGAGCCGATGGCGCGTCCACAGGGGGATGTCTAGTGTGAAGTTAAACATGTAACATTTATAAACAGTTGTAAAATCATTTCAGTAAGGCATCTGAGTTAGAGCTGGGAATGTTGCTGTTTGCATGGAGGTGAAACTGTAGTGCAATGAAGACAATAATAAAGAAGTAAATCACTAAGATACTTGCAGAACTATCATTAGGAAAGAATGGGTGATGTAAAAGGCCTCCTTGAGGGGGTGACATTGGAGCTATGACTCGAGTAAGTATCTCCCATATGAATACTTTGAAGTTAAATTATTTTAGGCAGTGTACGCAGCAAGTGCAAATGTCCCGAGGAAGGAATGAGCCTGGAATTGGAGAAAAACCATCAGTGAAGCTGGAGCTCAATGAGTGATGGTGAGAGGGCAGTGAGGTTTAGGCTACAGTGAAGAGTCTTTTTTTTGCCTGCCCTCAAAGAGAATATGTTATCTCAAAAAAACTAAGAAACAAAGGATCAGAGATAAAGAGAGAGAGGAATATCATTATAGTCTTAGAATTGTATCTGAACCACATTAAATCTGTTCTCTTTGTATTAATATCACATCAACATGAAAAAAAAGTAAAAACAACAACAACAAAAAAAGAGAAGGCCATTGAGCAGGTCTTTCCTACATGGTTTTCAGGCCTTAAATCTAAGATACACAGAATAAAATAATTTCCTCCCCTCACCCATCTGCCCTACTCCTAGTTTCCCTATTTATGTTCTTGTTTTTCTTTTTTCCTAAGATTGAACTCCCCACACCCCCCATCCTGCCCCACCAAGATGGTTGAGAGCTGGAATGTCCATATTCCTTAGTAACCACAGCTAAGCTTGTTGATGATAGCTCAGAATACAATCCTCAGTATTTTTCACAGTGTTTGGTTTAGTCAATGTTGAATGAATCCATCTGTAGTTTGAACTGAATAGTTTAGGTTGGGATTTGGTGTTTGTAGACTGTCCCCCCACTTCACTTTTTCTTGAACAAATATACACCCAATCTCAAGAATAAACCATAATACTAAGATTAGTCCAAATCCAGATTTAGCAATAGGGACACCAAAATATTTTCTTTTCAACATAATCTATAGCCACAGGACGTAATTTAAGACTGTCTTATTTACATAACCATGTAGAACCTACCTTTAGCCTCTCTGAACAATTTTCATTTAAGGTTCCTCAATGCTTTCCAAACTTTCCTAAGAAGGAAGTATGCTTCAGAATAAATGCAAAATTGGATGTGCTGGTTATCTGATGCAGCCACCTTCATCATTCATCTGGAATGCTACCATGGCCTCCTACTTTGTTTCTTATTTCCACCATTGCCCCTCTTCAGTCTATTCTTTGCACAGCATTGAGTCATCCTTTTCAAATGTAAATCGGGAGCAGGCAGTTGGTCTAGCAGTTAAGATGTCTGCATGGCAAACCTGCATCAGATGCCTGGATTCCATTCCCACTTTCAACTCCTGATTCTAACTTCTGGCCAGTGCAGACAGACCCTTGGAAGAACAAGTAATGGTTCAAGTGATGAGGGGCCCGTCAAACATATAGGAGACTTGGACTGTGTTTCTGGTTCCCTGCTCTCACCCAAGCCCAGTCCAGCCATTGTGGGCATTTGCAGAGTGAACCGAGAGCTCTGTTCTTATCTGTCTCTTTCAAATAAACAAACAAAATTTAATATAAATAAGTACAAGTTGCTCATTTGCTTAAAATCTTCCAATGTCTTCTCATTTCACTTAGGACTAAGACATGGTTCACTACCAAGGTCCCCCTCTTACCAGTTGACACCTGTTCTCCCTAGAAGTCACTTTACTCCATCTGGGTAGCCTTGCTATTCCCTGAGTATGCTGAGTATTTCTTTCCTTAGGAATGTTTCATGGGATCTTCTTAACAGTATGGAAGCTTCTGTCTCCAAAAGCTGCATTTTCAACACCTTATATTCCTCAGATATTATCTCAATGCTACGTCTCAGGGAGACCTTCTTCAATTGCCTTATTGCAACTCTCCCTCATTCCCTATTCTCTTTCCTCTTCTAGTACCTGTTATCTTCTAAGTCACTAACTTACACACACTTCCTATCTCTCAATGAAACTTGATCTCATTTTTTATCTATCTCTGTGACCCTCACCATTGGAATGCAAATTTCATGAGGAATATTTATCTGGTTGATTATGTTGGATTATTATTGACTGGGACTTAGGACTTGGAACTTGGCATTTTCAAAATAAATATGAGGGATCTTCAAAAAGTTCATAGGAAATGGGTATTACGAAAAAAACCATGAGTGGATTTCAAATTTTTTAAAAGATTTATTAAAAAATTTTAAGAAAGCTTTTATTTAATAAATATACATTTCATAGGTACTACTTTAGGTCAGATTTTTGGTATCAAAATAAGTATGCAGAGTGATGGGGTAGGGAGGAGAAAGATATTGAGAGTTTCATCAGCTGTTTTACTCCTCAAATGGTCATACAGCCAGACTTGGGCTAGGCTAATGCCAGGAGCCAGGAAGTCTATTCTGGTCTCTTGTATGTGTGGCAAGGGCCCAGGTATTTGGGCTGTTTTCCACTGTCTTCCCAGTCACATTAGTAGGAATGTCTATTTAACCCAAGAGCCTAAAAGTGAATTTTCTCACTACTATGGATGGTGTTTCTCACTGATATGCTATTTTTTCCAGACTGTTTATGATCAGTGGTTCATCACCCTGTTTAATATTGTCTACACATCCCTGCCTGTTTTAGCTATGGGGATATTTGACCAGGTATGTGTTTTTCTCTATTTTTATAATTTAGTTTTCTGTGATGATTTTTAGTTGCTTCTTAGCTTCTACGAAGATGTGATACAAGGGAAGAGTCTAGGAAGCTGTTTTCTTTTCTTTCTTTCTTTTTCTTTTTCTTTCTTTTTTTTTTTGACAGGCAGAGACAGAGAGAAAGGTCTTCCTTCCGTTGGTTCACCCCTCAAATGGCTGCTATGGCCGGCTTGCTGCGCCGATCTGAAGCCAGGAGCCAGGTGCTTCCTCCTGGTCTCCCATGCGGTTGCAGGGCCCAAGCACCTGGGCCATCCTCCACTGCCTTCCCAGGCCACAGCAGAGAACTGGACTGGAAGAAGAGCAACCGGGACTGAATCCGGTGCCCCAACTGGAACTAGAACCTGGGGTGCCAGAGCCACAGCTGGAGGATTAGCCTAGTGAGCTGCGGCGCCGGCCAGGAAGCTGTTTTAATAGATGTTGCATGGGTTATGATCCTTTTAGGTTCCCCACTTCTACCCTGAGGTTTCCCAAAACGGTTCTCTGATTAGAATGTGGCTACTACCCTTTTTTTTTTTTTTTTTTTTTTTTTTTTTTTTTTTTTTTTTTTTTTTTTTTTTTTGACAGGCAGAGTGGACAGTGAGAGAGAGAGACAGAGAGAAAGGTCTTCCTTTGCCGGTGAACCAATGGCCGCCGCGGCCGGCGCGCTGCGGCCGGCGCACCGCGCTGATCCGATGGCAGGAGCCAGGAGCCAGGTGCTTTTTCCTGGTCTCCCATGGGGTGCAGGGCCCAAGCACTTGGGCCATCCTCCACTGCACTCCCTGGCCACAGCAGAGAGCTGGCCTGGAAGAGGGGCAACCGGGACAGAATCCGGCGCCCCGACCAGGGCTAGAACCCGGTGTGCCGGCGCCGCTAGACGGAGGATTAGCCTAGTGAGCCACGGCACCGGCCGGCTACTACCCTTTAAGAGATGCACATCTCATGCTATTGTTCTAAAGGCTCTGAGAAGTCCTGAGGAAGTAGTCTCTTTAATTCTATTTTAGCTCAGCATTTCCCGAACTTCTGTGACTATATTTTTTTTCATGTAGTCTTTGAAGAGGTGTTTTAGGATTCACACACTGGCAAGTGCTGCCTTAGCCTCTGACATTTTGCAGAGCATCATTCAGAAACAGGTTGGAGTACAGAGGGCTTCAGTAAGACTTTCTTGGTCAGCACAGCCCCAAAGCAGGAACAGCAAGGTCAGTGGAACAGCTTGCCAATGGGAGAGGAGAATGTAAAGCCAGGGCTACGCAAGGAATGAGCACAACCTTCTTTTGTCCAGCATTACTGGGCTTGAGAGAGGAAAAGGGAGGGAATCAGTTACAAAAAAATGGTGCATCCTTGGCACACTCAGAGCCTTGGAAGGTACCTCGTGACAGGAGGGGAGAATCTGGCCCATAGAGTTTCCATGGCTTAATTAGAGTGTATTATTTTAAAACATTTTTGTAAAGTATTTTTAAGGAGAGCAGATTTTCTCCAGGCTGTTGTTAGCTCCATTTGCTAGGCCTCATTTTCTGGCTCAAAGTTGTCTATTGCAAAATATAAATCTTCACATTATGAGCTCACTTCACTCTCCCATTCTGCTGGCTCGTAGTCAGTTGAAAGTCTTACTTCATATATAAAAAGGGCAGTTTGTGAAAGGCATATTTTGTGGAATTCTACAAGAGTAATGAACTTCTGAAGACCTTAGATATAAAGGATTAAGCACATTAATTTCCAAGTGCCCATGTTTACAAGTGTTTCTTTTTGTGGTGCTTTGTAGCTGCCCAGAATGTGGAATAAAATAAAGCAGTTTCTGGGAAGAGTTATTGTGCAACTCAAAAAATATAATAAGGCTCCTTATTGCCATCAAGTTGAACGTCTGCTCCTCTCCTTTCCCACTTTGTCAACTTTGGCCCTTACACTGATCACAGGATTGTGGAATGCTATGCTGGAATGGCCTCAGGGATCATCTACAGATCTGCTCATTTTAGGAGAGGAAACCAAATTTTGAGACTTCACTGGCCCAAAGTCACACAGCCAACAGATGACAGAATGAAGTCTAGAGGCAGGCCACTTGACTTTGAGATTGCTACATTATTGTTATTATTGTCATCATTCTTTATTATTGTTTATAGAAGTGGCTGTTATTTGTTACTTATGATGTGGCAAAGAACTCTCCTGAACATATACTCATTTAATCATGGCCATGGTTCTGTGAGCGATGGGTTTCTGTTTGCATTTCTGGAGATGAGGAGGCTTAAATGGGTTATGTAACAGAACTAAGACTGCATACCTACTGAGCCTGTTGCAAAAGACTCTGTGGCTTCAAAGTCATGCACATAATCCCACTGGTCAGTAGACTGGGGGAGGAAGCACTTCACAGCATCTCCAAACAGGAATTCCTAAAGAGAATATGTCAGTGACCTTCATGGGTCTCTGTTCAGCAAGAAACAGGCCATCCCACAAGTAAGAAGAGGAACCTGACCAGCCCTTTAGAGTTCACTACTGGTTGTTCCTACTTTGGCTACTTTCCCAAGCATAGTCCTCTCTTATCCCCAGTTCTTGACATCCCTTATGGTTCTTATATTTGGCTTTAGTGCTCACAGTGTAGTTATCAGCATTACTTTGGTGTTGGCTGAAAATGCAGAATCTCCAGGCCCTCAGACCTCTTTAATCATAATATTGAATAACTGAGTTGCTCCCTTGGCAATTCATGTGTATTTTGAGTTTGAAAAGCATGGCTTTAGATTTTCTTAGGACCTGGCTAGTGCTAAACATGCTGATTCAGTCTATTTGTTGCTGCTGTTGTTGTTGTTCATCTGAACAACTGGTATCTTACTCCATTTTGTGTTGTATCACAAAATAGCTGACAGTTGGTAATGTATAAAGAAAAGAAAGTAATTGGGTACACAATTTTGTAGTTACAAGAGTGTGGTGCTGGCATCTGCTCAGCTCTGGTGAGGGCCTTCTGGCTGCTTCACAGCCTGGCAGATGTCATCGTGTTGGGCACTCATGAGAGAAACCACATGGTGAGACAGGAAGCAACAGACTGGGAAAGGCTCAGCCTCAATCCTTTTTTTTTTTTTTTTTTTTTGGTAATAAACCATCTTGAGGGAACTGATCCATTCATATGAGAACAGCATTAATACCTTCTATGGCTGGTGCCCCATGACCTAATTATCTCCACTAGGCCTTTAAAGATTCTGTCACTTCTCAACACTGCCACATTGGGGTTCAAGCTTCTAGCACATGAACCTTTGGAGGACACACTGAAACCATAGCCACATCATAGCACCATGTAACTGTTATTGGATCCTCCTGAGGCAGAATACTTTGGTCCTAAGCCTTCAGTTTCAGCTCCTTGCGCAGTAACCCACATGAAATTTCTCCTATTCCCTGCTTCCTTCTTCCTCCTGCTTGCCTCTCCCCAAGTTCAGTAGCTCAAATTTGCCTGACTCCACAGCTCTCTCCTGCCATCTCCTGGTCATTACCACTCACTGCCTTATTAATTAACTCCTGGGGGCCATTGTCTACACATGAATTTTGGTAACAGGAATGCTTCTGAGGAGTCTGCAGACTTAGCAGACTGCATGAGATAGAACTTTCAATCTGAAGCCAACTACCTGAGTTCAAAGAAGTCAAGTCTAGCTTCTGATCCGAGCTGTGTGGCTTTTTATGAATCTATTTTGGGGACTCAAATTCCTTCCCTAGCAAATAGGGATCATTTTTACTGTTTTGGGGGTGTGGAAATGGAAGTAAGATAGTGTCTTGTCCTGGCCCAGTGAGTAGTGCGTATTAGGGCACTTGAACAGGCATTTGCTATTTCTGGATCTAGGGAATACAGGGGTTCTCTGACTCTTTTTCAACCTCTTCCCACTGATACTGCATTCTGTTTACAGGATGTGAGTGCCCAGAACAGCATGGACTACCCTCAGCTCTATGAACCTGGACAGCTAAATCTCCTCTTTAATAAACGCAAATTTTTCATCTGCGTGGTGCATGGAATCTACACCTCATTAGTCATATTCTTCATCCCCTATGGGGCCTTCTATGATGTGGCTGGAGAAGACGGACAGCACATTGCCGACTATCAGTCCTTTGCAGTTACCTTGGCCACATCGCTGGTCATTGTGGTCAGTGTGCAGGTAATTCTATTGATGAAAGCCCTTTCTCTAACTTGATGGGGCTACACTTTGAATGTTCCATTTCATTGTTACCTGGTCTTGTGTACTTGTGGAGGAAAAAAATAATTCTAAAGGAGTACTACACATTTTAAGAAGAAAATAGGGAGTTTTACATAAATGATCAGAAAGGGAGATTAGCACCAGGTGCCTATAATCTCTATGTTAGCAGAAACCTCACAATTAACCATTTCTTTGGGTTGGCATTAACAGAAATGACTATACTACTACTTGTGTTTGAAGAAGAAAAAAATTTCCAATGATAATGGGAACATTCCCATGATTTCTTTAAGGCTTAATAGCTTCCAGGTTTAAATTGGCATCTAAAGTTTACTTGGGAATCTATTTCTGTGAAATTATTCAACAGATTCAATGCTATGCCTCTGTCACAAATCTTACACTCAGGGAGACTGTTTTGGTGGGGATGATTTTTTGATGCTCCATTGCCCTTCTTACACTGGGCATCTTGAGTTGTATTTCTGTTTCCTTTCAATGCAAGTAGTGGCCAGTACCATTAGATACTATGTTAAGAGTTGTCAAATCTATCGTTCTATTAAAATCTGTAGTCCTAGATGTGTATAGCAAGCAATGGACCACTACTATATTTCATTGTCTTTTGATTACTGAATGAACTATGAAAAATGAAGTGATCTTTTTGTCCTGAAGATGCATTTGTAATTCTCTGGATTCTCCTTCCAGGGAGAGGAGGGCAGCTGTGGGATGCACGGGATATCTTTACATGTTTGTTTACATGTTTGTTTACCTCCAAGTCAGGCCTATTGCTTGATTCTCCAAAGATGATTTATCTGGAGGAAAGAGCCAGTGAAAAATAGTTTTCAAACTGTCTTTGGCATTATACAGTGTGTCAATAAGAATAACAAATGACCTGGAGATTCACTATAGGCATAACATGTGACAAGCATTGTATGGTTTTAGTGAAATTGGTCTCCACAGTTAGCCCCACAATTTTTTGATAACTTTGTCTTTTAATTAAAAAATGTATTTAGTACCCATATATATTTTGTTTTTCCTTCTCCTTGTCCATAATGGATTTTTTAGATGCTATAACAGTAGTCCCAGTATTATAATTTTTATATTATCTTTATATTTTGAAGCTCTTTTTCTCATGAAGTGTCAGTTCTTGCTTCAGTTGGATGTCAGTTACATTCCTCCTTTTTTACAACTTGGGAGGCCACAGAAACAATCTCTCTCTTTTTAAATATTTTATTTATTTACTTGAGAGGCAGAGTTAGAGACAGAGAGAGGGAGAGACAGAGAGGAAGGTGTTCTATCCACTGATTCACTCCCCAAATGGTTGCAATGGCCGCAGCTGGGCTGATCTAAAGCCAGGAGCCAGGAGCTTCTTCCAGGTCTCCCATGTGGGTGCAGAGGCCCAAGCATTTGGACCATCCTCTACAGCTTTCCCAAGCAACAGCAGAGAGCTGGACTGGCAGAGGAGCAGCCGGGACTAGAACTGACACCCAAATATGATGCCGGCGCCGCAGGCAGAGACTTAGCCTACTGTGTCACAGTGCCGGCCCCAATAACCTCATTTTAAAAATATTGTTTATTCACAAAAAGATTATGGAATTTTGAATCCTGATTATAAATTTTGAACAATTCTTAATCTTGATTATCAAATTCTTATAGCGATCCAAGCTTCTTAGAGGGAATTCACACCTGGGACCCTGGCCCTCTCATGTAGGACGATTTGGGTGGGACCATCCAGATCTGTTTGGTTCAAGCCTTAATGGACATTTGCCTCTTCAAGAACCATTTTCTTCCTCCACCTCTTCAAGGACAGTGGTGGCCCTACCCACCCCTCCAGCGTCACTTATCACAACATTCTCTTGGCTCCTGGAATTCACCACTCTCGTCCTTGTGTTGCACCTTAGCTCTTTTCTGCCTGGGACGTTATTCCATATGCTTCCCTCAGATGTCATCTCTCAGAGAGGCCAACCTCGGTTCTCCAGTTAAAAAGAGGTCCACACCCTCTAACAGAATAGAACTCACTTCTTTCATCTCATGGCTGTCATCTCTATTTGTCAGTCCATATTTAGTTGTACATTCCTTGTTTTAATGTCTTTCTATGTCCCAGATTAGAAGCTTCATGAAGGCAGTGGTAATGTCTATTTTAGTCTCCCTGTATATCCAGGGCCTACATAGTGCTTGGAATATTTCTTGAGTATTGAGAAAATGAGGAAGGTGTTAAGAGAAAATACTTTCTCTTTTGAACCTGTCATAAAAAGAGTTCAACTGGGTATTTTAAATCCCTAGGAAAGAATTATTATAAATGACTTGAGTTGATGGAATTATTTACTCACACAGTTTTCAAACCTGTCCATAATAAATTCCCAACCCATTTGGGAGGCAGCGTCCTTCTGCGCTGAGTCTAGTTAATTGACTTATGTGAGAAACGTGGAATGGAGTAGTACATGCGTAGGCTGCTAGAGGCCTTCAAAAGCAAGGCACTGTGGCAAAGTCCCAGCGCTATGTGGTCTCAGAGGGTGCGACTGTGCTTCAGTTCTCACAACCTGCAGCCTGACAGAAACTGAGCCATACTTACTCCTGTGGTGCCTTTACTCACTGAAAATATTTTTTATGATCATATTAAATGCAGGAAATTTTGGGAAAACGTATAAAAGTAAACAGTTAAAATTCACACACAATCCCATATTAGTGTTCACGTGGGAAAAAGATAGTGATCAGATTATATATAATTTTATATCTTATTTTTTCATTTTAAGTAATGAACATTTATTTTATTCTTGAAACATTCTTTGAAATCTTCCTCTTTTGAAAATTTTTGGGAGGGGCCAGTGCCATGGCTCACTTGGTTAATCCTCTGCCTGCTGTGCCGATATCCCATATGGGTGCCGGGTTCTAGTACAACTCTCTGCTGTGGCCCAGGAAGGCAGTGGAGGATGGCCCAAGTGCTTGGGCCCCTGCACCTGTATGGGAGACCAGGAAGAAGCACCTGGCTCCTGGCTTCGGATCGGCATAGCTCCAGCCATGGCAGCCATTTGGAGGGTGAACCAACAGAAGGAAGACCTTTCTCTCTGTCTCTCTCTCTCTCACTATCTATATCTATACCTGTCAAATTTAAAAAAAAAAAAAGAAAAAATTTATTTGGGAAAGCGGGAGGGCACGAGGGAGGGAGAGAGGGAGGGAGAGCACCAGAGTGTGCACTGCCACCTGCTGCCTTACTTCCTGAATGCCTACAATGGCTTGCACTGAGCTGGGCTGAGTCCATGAATTGGGAACCAGGTCTTCCATGTGAGTGGCAGGGATCCAACTACTTGGGCCATTACCTGCTTCTCCTAGAATCTGCATTAGCGGGAAACTAGAAGCAGAACAGAGCCAGGACCCAAACCCAGGTACTCCAGTGTGGGATGTGAAAATCCCAACCTATGTCTTAACCATTAGGTCAAACATCCTCCCTGAAATAATATTTTTAATAGCTATAGTACAGTATTCCTGCATATGAATGCCACTATGCAAACAGTAGTAGCAAACCTTCATATACGTAGTTCCTAATATGATTCTCTATTTCCTAAGAATATGTTCTTTTTTATAAAAAAAAAGATTGATTTATTTGAAAGGCAGAGAGAGAAAGAGATATCGATATCTTCCATCTGCTCTTTCACTCTCCAGATGGCCGCAATGCCCAGAGCTGGACCCATTGGAAGCCAGAAGTCTGGAGCTTCTTCCGGGTCTCCCACATGGGTGCAGGGGCCCAAGCACTTGGGCCATCTTCTACTGCTTTCCCAGGCCATAGCAGAGAGCTGGATGGGAAGTGGAACAGCTGGATCTCAAGCTGGCACCCATATGGGATGGGATGCTGGCACTGCAGGTGGTGACCTTAACTGCTAGGCCACAGCGCTGGCCCAGAATATATTTGTAAAAGTAGGCATTTTGGTAAGATATGAGGAAGTGTAAAGCCCTCGCCATACACTCCCAAATATATGTAAGTAGGTTCTCTCACTTTGAGCTTAAGAGTAAAACATGCCCTCAGTAGGCCTTCACTGCTTTAGAGAGTTACTTTGAATTATTTTACAAATTTAAATTAATGGCCTTTGCTGCCTGGGAAGTAACTAATGCATGGTGAATACACCGGGTTTACTCTTTGTGAAGGAATATTTTAGGGGCAGATGTTGTGGCACAATGGGTAAGGCACTGCTTGGGATGTCTGCATCCCACATTGGAGTGCCTGGGATCAAGTCTCATCTCTACCTCCAGTCCAGCTTCTTGCTAATGAACATCCTGGGAGGCAGCAGATGCTACCAGGGACATTTGTGGAGAAAAGCAGTAGATAGAAGATCGCTCTCTCTCTCTCTCATTCTCTCTCACTTGCTCGCTGTTTGTCTTTCAAATAATAAACAGGACTGCATGGTAATGAGGTATAGTTGAGAAGCACTGGAATATAATGATCATTGCAATGCACACATGGCGTCATGTATTTTACAAGGGAAGTGCTGGAGCTCACCCCTTGGTGGCTGGGATCTCTTTGCCATGTTGCACGGTTAAAGGTCTCTGTATCTTTCCCACCTATTCCCATCTCATAGGTTTCGCTTCTCTATGATTTCTCTGTTCTTTGAAACCACCTCCACCCCTGCCATTAATTCAGAGTGTCAGAAGGACTCTAACAGCCAGGAAACTGAGGAGAGCTTCTGGACAGGAGGAACCAGGCTGCAGATAGTGGCCCAGAAGCAGAATGGGTGAGAGTGAAGCCCAGGTTTCTAGTATCTGGCATGCTTTGTCTGCTACTGTACTTTTAATCAAAACTACAATGCCGGACACAGATAGATATTTGTTGAATAATTGTAGGGGCTTGAGCAAAGGCAGTAAGAAGGATTTGGTTGAGGTATTCGACCATTCCTACTGTCCAAGTTACAAGCTTGTCTTACTCTGTGTGACCAAAGAAGGCCTAGCTTTGGTGGTAGCCTTCAGAAACCTATGTCACT